TATATATATATGTATATACATACATATATATATATATATATATATATATATATATATATATATATATATATATATGTATGTATATATATATACATATATATATATATATCAGGTGTTTGATTAATTTTTTGGTTTGACAGTGTCTGTGTTGTATGTGTGTGTTTGTGAATTACCAGATGCTGGTGGACTCGCTGTATCCCACCACAGCATGGCAGCCGAGAGCTTTGGCATGAGACTTTATTTCTTGACGGATCTCCTCCCACCATGCATCTCGTGTCTCTGGCTCGTCTGAAACAAACACATATACGACATCACACACAGACACCACTGGAGCATAAACATTAACCTCTGACTTAAGCAGAATACTAGCCTTGTTAGCTGCTTTCTCAATGCTCCCACATCTGATACAACTCACCATTTTGTCCTGATTATATAAGCTATTCATTTAGCATTTGTCTTTATTGTTTATTATTATCTTCTAAAAGTGCCAGGATGAGATACTTTAGTCATTTTAATAAATAAACCGCTCATTCACATGTTTGTGGTTCTCTGATACAAGCTAATGGTGAAATGACATGCAGGTAAACAAATGTTTTTAGGTAAGCATGCTTCTTTATTTTTGTAAGCATTTACTCTGTAATTTTTCAATTTTATAATTTAATTGTTATCTATCATCAAGTCAGGGGCATCCTGCATAATCCACAGCTTGGGAAACCCAGCTCTGCATCAAATTATACAGTTGAAGTCAAAATGATTTGCCCTCCTGTGAATTATTTTTCCTTTTTAAATATTTCCCAAATTATGTTGAACAGAGCAACAGAGCAAGGAATTTTTTATAGTATTTGGTTTAATATTTTTTCTTCTGCAGAATTGTTTTATTTCGGCTAGAATAATAGCAGTTTTCAATTTTTTAAACCATTTTAAGGTCAATATTATTAGCCCCTTCAAGCTATATATATATTTGATTGTCTACAGAACAAACCATTGTTATACAATGATTTGCCTAATTACCCTATCGCACCTAATTACCCAAGTTAAGCCTTTAAATGGCCCTTTAAGCTGGATACTAGTATCTAGAAAAATATTTAGTAAAGTAACATGTACTGTCATCATGGCAAAGATAAAATAAATCAGTTATTAGAAATAAGTTATTAAAACTATTATGTTTAGAAATTTGTTGAATAAATTCTTTTTCCCATTAAACATTACTTGAAAAAATATATATAGAGGGGGCTAATAATTCTGACTTTACTTGTATGCATCTTTAAAAAATCATAATAATTCTAAATGTCAGATGCACATTGTCCATGTTCTAGTTTTAAACAGTGGTTATTGAAATTTGAGAACATTTAAATTTTATTTTATAAGGTTCCTAAAATGTAAATTATTAAACTATGAATATGGCATTACTAAACTGAATTAGCTTTTATTAATTCTAATCTGCCAACTGGATTATTGCAAGAATATTTCCAGTTGAGAAACTATAAAAACTCTAGAAGATAATCGCAATCCTCAAATTACATGACAGAGAATATAATAAACAGAACATTGTCAAGTATCGGTGTGAATGCTTATATAGTTACTGTTATTGTTCTTTGTGCTTCATGCATTTATTAAAGGGGAAAAAAATCCTTTATTTACCCAACAGTGTTTAGTTGCTTGTTGTGGTTCGAAATTTGCTTTAAAGCAGCATCTGACTTTATAGTATATACAAAATTATTAGCCCTCCTCTGAATTGTATTTTTTCAATATTTTTCAAATGATGTTTAACAGAACAAGGACATGTTCACAGTATTTCCTATGAATTTTTTTGTTCTCGAGAAAGTCTTATTTGTTTTATTTCGGCTGGGAAAAAAAAAAAAAAGTTTTAAATTTTTTAAAAACCATTTTAAGGTAAATAATATTAGCCCCCTTAAGCAAAATGTTTTGATTGTCTACATGACAAACCATCGATATACAATGATTTGCCTAATTACCCTATTTTACCTAGTTAACCTAGTTGAGCCTTTAAATGTCACTTTAAGCTAAATACTAGCATCTATAAAAACATCTTATAAAATATTATGTACTGTCATCATGGCAAAGATAAAAGAAATCAGTTATTAGAAATGAGTTACTAAAACTATTATGTTTAGAAATGTGTTGAATAAATCTTCCTTCCGTTAAACAGAAATTGGGGGGAAATATACAGTGGGCTAATAATTCTTCAGACTTCAACTGTATACAATATATACATAATAAAATATTACTGTCCAAAATGTGTATATTTTAGACACTGACAACTCAAAATTGTCCTCAGAGAAGGAGCACACCATGCATTAACACAAACAAGGCTAGTTTCTGAGTTTTTCTATTGCTCAGACTGGCACACATGCACACACAGGTGCTCACGTTCCTCAAGAGCAAGGGGTTTTTCACAAGAGCAAACCCCCCTGCCTGTTGATCACACACACACACTAGGAGAGGGCCGAGGGGAATGAGGAAGACGATGATGATGGTGAAGAGGACAGTGGTGTGATATGCCATTCTCCTCACTGATAGCTTTAATCCCTGCTAGTGCAGTCATGCTTCCCAATGGAGGACAAACTCCATCCTATCCTGGACAAAACGGCCAACAGCAGGAGGGAGTTTGACGTTAAGAAGAAAAGTGGATAGCGGGGGAAAAAAAAACTCAGGATCAGAAGCAGAAGTAAATAGAAAAGATAAGAAGCAGAAGTGCAATAAAATAAAATAAAGATGTCCTTATGCTCACTGTAACCATTTCAAAAATAATATTCAAATCAGTCAAGGTCTGACCAGTGACTACTAACAATAAAACACACAAAATTCTAAATAACTAAATAAACGAGTTGCTTTTCTGAATACATTTTTCTCCATAAACTTTTCAATACATATACAGGGGTTGGACAATCAAACAGAAATGCCTGGCTATAGACTACAATCATTCTTTAGTATGGTGTAGGGCCTCCTTTTGTGGCTAATACAGCATCAATTAGTCTAGGAAATGACAGATACAAGTTCTGCACAGTGGCAAGAGGGATTTTGAGCCATTCTTCTTGCAGAATAGTGGCCAGGTCACTACGTGAGGCTGGAGGAGGAAAACATTTCCTGACTCGCTCCTCCAAAATACGCCAAAGTGGCTTAATAATATTTAAATCTGGTGATTGTGCAGGCCATGGGAGATTTCACTTTTATGTTCTTCAAAACACTCTGTCACCAGTCTTGCTGTGTGTATTAGTGTATTATCATCCTAATGCATGGCACCACCTTCAAGATACAATGTTTTAGCCCAGTGGTTCTCAAACTGTGGTACGTGTACCACTAGTGGTGCGTGCGCTTCCTTTTAGTGGTACGCGGAAGAATCAAATATGTCATGTGAACATGCTGCATATATTTAAAATGATTTGTACATGAATACAACAACGTAAAGCCTATATTTATGAGGTCCAGGCAACATTTCCAGGTGCTGATGAATATGTTAATACTTTAAATTTGAGTACAGCAGTTTTATTTTTACTTTTAAAGAACAGTAACCTACCATTTTTAACTTTTAAAAGCACAATTTAATTTAAATGTTGATGTTTTATTTTTATTTATTTTTATTTTTTACATTTAAGCACAGTACAGTCTTAATCTTCAGACTACTTATAATGTTTAAAGTGGCTGACAATAATAAATATTCTTAATAATAGTTATTAATCTGCCACGTTTTTGAACTGTGCAGAGCTGTAGCTGCTTAATTTTGTCTACTACGCTATGTATTTCAATACTGCTCATTATGGTGGTACTTGGAGAGACAATTTTCTTCTGAGCTGATACTTGATGAAAAAAAAACACTGTTTTAGCCATTGGGCGCACATAGTCCTCCGGAAAGGTTCAGTAGTCCTCGACATGCACATCTACCACAAGCACTGGGCCTAGAAAATGCCCTGATATTGCAGCCCAAACCATCACTGATCCACTTCCATGCTTTACTCTGGGCATGCAGCAGTCTGGGTGTTATACTTCTTTGGGGCTTCTCTGCACCGTAACTCTCCCGGACGTGGGAAAGACAGCAAAGGTGCACTCATCAGAGAGCAATACGTTTCACATTGTCTACAGCCCAAGATTTTCACTGCTGGCCCCACTTAAGCCGACGTTTAGCATTGGCACGAGTGACCAAAGCTGCCAGTCCATCTATTTTAACCATGTGGAGGTTCCTCACAACAGTTGATGGAAACAGGAGATTTGAGATGCACGTTGAATTCTGCAGTGAGTTGGGCAGCTGTGGTTTCATATTTTTTTGGAAACAATCTAGGTTAGCACCCAGACATTCCTTTCAGATGGCTACCTCTTGCATTCACAGTTACTCTTTTTAGATATGGTTTGTCCTTCTTGGTGATATGCTGACATTACCCTGGTCACATCACAAAGACTTGCTGTCTTGGTCACAGATGCACAGCAATTTGTCCTCTTCTAAACTCTGATATGTCACACATAATGTTGTGTGCATTCTAATACTTTAAGCAAAACTGTGCTATTACTCTGCTAATTGTACTGGTGGAATGTGTAATCTACTAAGATTGGCTACCAGGTTGGTCAACCGTAGCCACAAAACCTCCAACACTAAATTGGCCAGTGTTTTAGTTTAGTTTAGTTATTGTTCAACCCCTGTACCTTTAGGTCAAAAACGGTATTGGCCAAGTTAAATTAATTATATATTTTTAACAATTTATACACATCTATACATTATTTTAAAATTATAATGCATATTTAACTACACAAAAATACATTACCTCTATTTGTGAATGTTTTTTTGTGTACAGTGCTTATTTTAGCAAGAACAGACTATATTTTGTATATCTATCGTTAAGGTTATTGCACACCGGGAGAATTTTACTGAGCGCAACATAGAAATCAGCCTCGTGCTTTTTCCTTGTGTTTTTATTGTGTATGCTTTTCCACTTTTGCTTAACCACCTACAGCACACAAAAGTACAAGGGAAACAGTTACAAGCCATTAAAAGAAAATTAAGTAATATGAAACTCAATTTCTACTCTTGGCAAACCGTTTTGTGCTCGAGTGCCACCAAGTGTTTTTCTGTAACTTCAGAAGCTCAAGGAACATAAACAAAAATGCCAATCTCATCAGTTTAATGCATTTTTATAAACATGACACTTTCATTTTAATCATGAGCCAGAGACAGGCGCAAACAGAAATCATCCCCGTGTGCATGTGCCTTTACTCACATTATTTCTTACAGATTCTTCATTACATTAACTACAATAGTGTTAAGCTTTTTGAAACTTCCAGTCACACAAAAACATCAAAAGATGTGCAAAAGGAGGACAAAAAATATATAGTGAAAAAGCAATCCTTCTTTAAATAGTATTTTAATCTCCTTCTGAGATATATAACCCCAGAAAATAAGTCCAAATCAACATCATCTTAGCAAATGTGGGATCAGCTTTCAAAAACATAATCCATAACACATGAATCCTTTTAAAAGGGAAGCAACAATGACCACAGAGGCAGCAGCATCGCCAAGAGCAAATAGGTCATGAGACGCCTCATGACTGGAAGAGGAGCATTGCCTAAATCCACTTCTCTGGATTTGTAGATCAAGTGGTCATGTGATCAGGGAGCAGAGGACGCTGGGTAAGGGGTCAGGTGAAGTGCAGTCAGAGCATATCAAGAAATGACCAGCCAGAGCAGAAACAGCCACGCATCCAGCTTAAGCATGCAATAGCTGCCTGACACACACACACACACTCATACATATACACGCTCATACAGAAGCACAGCGCATGGCAGCTCATGCAACACACACTACTGAGAAAAAGTTTAGGTTTTTAGGTGCTAGCCTGTGTTTATTTGAGATTGTCTGTGTAAAGCATCAATATAATCACCATAAATCGGAAAAATCTACGTTCCATGTGATTAATATGCACTAAATGTAAAATGTCAAATTAAAGGAAAAGTTCACCATGATAGATCAAATTTTGACTTTCTTATATACAAAAATAATAATAGTAATAATAATATTTCATACTTCTTTTTTATTGTTATATTTCAGCATCATGCACATCAGCAATCGTCACATAGCAGAATCTACAATATTGAGTTTCCCACACATAAACTTAACTTGGGAGGGCTGCCCAGGTACATTAATGGCCACCCAAGTTTAAATTAGTGACATGTTTTTTTACTATTATTATCATCCGTTTACAATTTTTTTTTTTTTGTATCCACCTAATATAAAAAAACATCCACGAGCGATTAAGTAGTGGAAAATCTACTTTCCTTTACTCGTTTTGCTCATTCTGTGGGCCAGTCCCAATTCTACCCCTTAGCCCTTCCCCTTACCCCTACCTGTCGTTTTGCACGTGCACGCAAAGGGCTAGGGGTGTCCTAATTCTCTTTAGCTTGAAGGCGTAAGGCTAAGGGGATGCCCTTTCAAACTAAGATTTTTCAGGACCACACTCGAAACCAGGGGGTAAGAAAATTTCCCAGAAAACACCAGCCACAGCGCCAGCATTGCTGAACCCGGAAGTAAGGAGATCCACAAATTAGTATTTTTTGCTATTATTACAAATTTTTACGACAAACAAACACATTTTAATATATTCATAACCCTATTCATGTTTTACCATCATGCTTAAAAAAAAAAAAAAAACGCTAAGTTTCGCGATCTATAATCCCCAATCATAACTCCGGTACAGCAGTTCCACAACATTCTGACACTCAAACACCCTGTCGGTAATGTCTAACGTTAGTGGCTGGGATCTACCTTTTTACAGTGTCTGCTATAATGTTAATGTATTATTTTTTTTTTTTTTTTGGTGTGTTTACATTGATGAATATGGCCACTTTGTAAATACACAGTACAGTTACAATGTTATTGTCACATTAGATCGTTATGATAACATAATATATGCCTTCAATGATTTCCTGAAGATAAATACCAAAAAATAACACAACTGGAATCACTACAGCAGTCGCAATCGTCTAATCTCATATAAAGCAAGAGATCGTGATGACATATGATGACGTGTGCAGGTGCTGTAGTGCGGTCCCAATTTTTGGGGGTATATTTTAAAGCCCTTCCCCTTGGCCCTTACAACCGGGAAAGGGGTATAAAAACAGAATTGGGATTGGGCCTGTGTGCCCACTGCAACACACAGACTTTGCAGACAAAGAGACGCGCACCTCTTTGCGTCCAGCCGGGGTTTCTAAATATACTAAAATGTCCGGAATTTGGTTTTGCTTTCCTTTTCTAAGCTGTCGTTAATTTTATGTGCACAGCCGCAAGAGAAACATTAAATTATTAATTCTTGAATCTAAACGAGAGGACGAAATTACATCTAAATTGGCTGCAGAATGTTTGAACACCATTAGAAATGGCTTATCAACTCATTTGTCTTATTTAAATAATCTACACATTTTACTCTTGTAATTATTAAAATTTTTAGAAATATTAGCCCCTTTCACACAGTGATACCAGTAAATATATGGAAAACTTCTGTTTACACAGGCGAGGATGTTACGGAATTTTACCGGAAAAGAGCATTCACACATCCATTCCAAAATACCGGTAAATTCTGACATCATTAACCAGAAATGAGCTTTAAACGGCTGCGCTTGTGTTTGTAAACATTTGACTATATCACAAACTCTGTGGATGGATCAGTATCATGAACAACTTCGATGTAAACATATAGAGAAACACTTTGGCATGTCGAGATGTACATGATATGTGTGTGTGCTGGCGCTCACTGGCTGTTTCACACGCAAAGCTTGAAGGTAAACAAACAACGGCTTATCATACGTGTCTTATCGATAATTATTTAAACGGTTGCCATTAAGATGAACATAAAAACGTTATCTGACTAATTTCTAGCAGCTAAATGTGTCTGGAAAAATATTCAAAGGCTTTTATCTCTTATAAACTGCGTGGACGTGAATGCGTCTGACTGTTCTGATTGCCTAAAGCAGACGTCTCACGTCAGCACGTTCTAGATGTGCATGCGCTCTTTCCGGCAATCTTCCTTCTGCATTCACACAGCCAGCATTCCGGCAAATTACCAGTAATGTTACAACTTCTCTTTCCGGAAAATAGATAGAACGAATTTACCGGTATTTTCAAAAAGGGCCTGTTCACACATACACACCTTTCCGGAAAATTGTCGAAAAGGAACCGTCTAAATGTGTGAAAGGGGCTATTGTCTGCTTTTATTTCTTTTTTTTTCTGTCATTTATTTCTCATTTGCTGTAGATTTTATCAATTTGATTAAAATGTTACATATTTCTTACATTTAAATTGCTTAGGCAAAACTATACAAAATGTCATGCCATTAAAGCAACCTGAACTTGAATGAGTGATAGAGAGAAGCAGATTTGACCTGTCAGTGAGTGCACATGCCTCCATTTACCATAAATAAGAAATAGTGGATTTTTTTTTTAATCGTTTCAACAGTCACTTTTTTTTACCTTAAGCCATTGTAAAGAAACAGTTTAAACAGATACTAATCAAAAATCTTGTTATATTTTTGACGTCAATTTCAAGCAGAGGGAGGAGGATGGCCCGTGGACCGGCAGTTTGAGACCCCTGCTTTAAACGAAATTAAATCACATTCAGGGTTCAACGCTAATGATTTTTTATACGGGTCCGATTGCTTGAGATTTTTACTTGCCCTGTCAAAATTTTCACTAGCCCCACCAAAAAAACTAAAAAGTTAATAGCTATTTCTTAGCCACATATTTTAAATAGTGGCAAAATTATGCCTGTGAATCTAGAATTTAAACATTTTAAATATGTTAATAAATGTATAATGAGCAAAATTCAAGATTTTATGCAAATAAAAGAGCATTATGAAAAATGTGCTGGTGTTTTAATGCAATTCTAAATAACTTTTTATAAAAATGGCTTGCCAAACTGACAACTGTTTTTTTTTTGTTCTTTTTTTTAGTTTCTTAATTTTGTACCCATGTAATGGTCTGCTTCTAAGCCTTTAGAAACGTTTTCTTTTAGCCTCATTGTTTAATTTTGCCACCATGTTGCCATCTTTTTACTGTACTGGTTGTTACCAGGTTACAAAAAAAAAAAAAAAAAAAAAAAAAAAAAAAAAAAAAAAACATTCTCATCGGTACTGGCCGATAGGGGCCAGTAACAATCCTGTCTACTGTCCCGAGTGTCTTTCACGCTGGCCCCGGGCCACTGGGCAGTCCTTATTGTTGCAAGTGGTGCTCGCTGCAGAGCCATTTGGGCGAGCTGAGCTCCAGCGAGGGGGAGCTTGAGCTTGAGCTCCACCTTTTTTGCACTTCTTCTACGAGTGATGTCACTGGGGGTAGGGTTAGGGGTGGGGTTGGTGTACGCATTAAAACAGCTTACAGGAGGCAGAGCAAGAGCTCATGCTCCCCCTCGCTGGAGCTCAGCTCTGCTTAAATGGCTCTGCAGCGAGCACCCTCTCTATTGTTGAGCCCTGACATTAACAATCACGACAACTGAATGGTTTGAATGTAAGATTTATTGAATCACTCATTAAGACAGACATTTATAGTAGTAGTAACATTATTTCATTTATTCATAAAAGATTTAAACCTACAGACACCAGTCTACAATCTAATTCTGTAATAATATGAATTATTCTCATCATTGGGATCATTTTGCGTCAATATCACATACTATCCCATAAACTGTGGTTTAAATCTTCCTCAGAAGTAAGAAAATCATAAAGTAGATGATAAAATAATTCAATTATCTGGTGAACTGTCCCTTTAAGCATCACTGTTTCATTTTCTAATGGAGATTAATCAAAATGCACTACATAAAAATGACTATTTATTAACAATTAACAGTGTATCAGTTGAGCTGCCAAGGGCTGCGTATAAGTGTATGCATGTGTAAAAAGCAGGACTGTGGGTAGGGTAGTACCTGCAGTGAAACTATTCCAGTCTAGCAGTTTGTATGACCTGGTGTTACCCAAGGCTGAGCCAAATCGCCACATTAGTAGATCGGTTAAAGGAGCGGAGAGAAAGAGAAAGAGAGAAAGAGAGTAGAAAAGAAAAAGAAAACCAAACACCAAACTACAAACGAGAACACAACACTGGACAACACCACTCCACAGGAACTGCAAAGTCAGACAAGAGTTATCAGAGAGGATGACCACAAGAGCGAGAGCAAGAGAGAAGAGATGGACAGAGAGGGAAAAATACAGAGGTCTGGGAGAGAGAGAGAGAGAGAATGAAGGGGAGGGGGAAAAAGAAGTGAATTGAGAGAGAGAAAGAGATAGAGAAAAAGCATGCAGCAGCACTGTCAGTGGCTCTAAACCAGCACATCTACAATAAAGAAACTACATGAGCGGCTCCTTCAACCAAACCATGCTTTAATTAACGCATTCACACGCACACTAGTAAAACCTTCACAGCTCATTTACTGTATGTGTTGTGCAATGACTGTGTGTGTTTGCAGTTATCTAAAGTTACAATTAAGAAAATAAAAGAGCATACAGCCTGTGTGCTCTAGTTTGGAGATTAATTAAAGTTTTCTCCTTTTAATTATGCTCTAAACACTATACTATACTAAACAACAGCCTCTGTGTGTGAGGGCATCAAGTCAGCATGTAAAATAGTAATGGGTAATGGCACAGCTTGGTTAGTTTAAAGTTTGAATGCATGCGAGTTGCAGAAAAATAAATAAAAATACAAACACAAATCTAAGATCTATGAAATGGGGGGAAATTGCTAAAGGTTTTGAGTTATGGGGTCTTCTTGAGGATGATGATCACATGTTGGGATGAGCAGGAAACAAGAATTAGAAGTATGATATAAAAAGTATTATAAAAGTGATATAAAAAGACTGAGTTCATGCAGGAGGGATGTGAAAACATTTTGGAAAGCTTCATAAAAGTTGAGATTCGGTCATCATATGTATACACTCACTGGCCACTTTATTAGGTACACCTGTCTAACTGCTCGTTAACGCAAATTTCTCATCAGCCAATGCAGGCTGGTCGGAATATTTCAGAAACTGCTTATCTACTGGTATTTTCACACACAACCATCTCTGGAGTTTACAGAGACTGGTCCGAAAAAGAGAAAAAAGGGAACAAAAATAACCACTCGTTACAACCGAGGTATGCAGAAGAGCATCTCTGAACACACAACACGTCCAACCTTGAGGCAGATAGGCTACAGCAGCAGAGGACCACACCGGGTGCCACTCCTGTTATCTAAGAACAGGAAATTGAGGCTACAATTCACACAGGCTCACCAAAATTGGACAATAGAAGATTGGAAAAACATTGCCTGGTTTGATGATTCTTGATTTCTGCACGACATTCAGATAATAGGGTCAGAATTTGGCATCAATACCATGAAAGCATGGATCCATCCTGCCTTGTATCAACGGTTCAGGCTGGTGGTGGTGGTTTAAAGGTGTGGGGGATATTTTCTTGGCACACTTTGAGCCCGTTAGTACCAATTGAGCATCGTGTCATGCCACAGCCTACCTGAGTATTGTTGCTGACCATGTCCATCCCTTTATGACCAGTGTACTCATCTTCTGATGGTTACTTTCAGCAGGATAACGCAACATGTCATAAAGAGCGAATCATCTCAGGCTGGTGTCTTGAACATGACAATGAGTTCACTGTACTCAAATGGCCTCCACAGTCGCCAGACTCAATCCAATAGAGCACCTTTGGGATGTGGTGGAATGGGAGATTTGCATCATGGATGAGAAGTCAGCAAATCTGCAGCAACTGCGTGATGCTATCATGTCGATATGGACCAAAATCTCTGAGGAACATTTCTAGTAGCTTGTTGAATCTATGCCACGAAGGATTAAGGCAGTTCTGAAGGGAAAAGCGGGTCTAACCTTGTACTAGTAGGATGTACCTAATAAAGTGGTCGGTGAGAGTATATTTTTTATTATTATTATTTTTCATCAACTCAAAAAAAAAAAAAAAAAAGAGAGTTACTGTTGCCTTCTATTGACTCAAATCTGCCTTATCATTCTCCTTTGGCATAAACAAGGTATTTTTACCAACAAAAAAAATACATGAAATCATGTTGTTCAAGAAATCAAATTAGGTCTGAAGTTTCATAAACAATATATTGTTGATGGCTTCAGTTCCAATCTCCTAACCCTACTACCTTTTTTCTGTTAAACTCCAGCAGATCAACTTGACTGTATATATACACATGTCTTAATGCATTCAATTTTGCCATGTGATTTGCTGATTAGATATTTGCATTACAATTAGTTGGTATTTTGGAAATATATTAACCATCAAGTGTATAATACAATTACACAATTGAATAGTTTTAATTAAAAGTGCCATAGAATAAAATCTGGATTTAGCTAGGCATTGGTAAGCGTTCAGTACATGAAAATGCATGCCATGAGCCACAAACCCAATGGTTTCCTCATTCTCATGTAAAAACCAGAGTGTGTAAAATTCCAGTGAAAAACAGGTCAATCAGATCAAAACACAGATTGTGACTAGCCACATGGGATCATTAATATGCATGCCCGAGGCTTGACTGGCCAAAACATTTCCTAATGAGATTATAACGATCATTTTGTTCCTTGTTTTTAAGTTCATCTAATCTTGTATTGCACATATGTATGTAGGACTCTTATTTTGAAAAACGACAGGCTTTAAGAGCAAGCAGGCAGCCATGCATGATCTCGTCTGTTTATAACTCGCCAGAATGCAAAATGTGGGATACAGTATAATAAATTAATTCAGCACCCCCTCAAAGAGGCACAAGGAGTCTGTTTAAATGATCTTTTGTTAGATTAACGTGTATATTGCGAAATGTGCAGCATATGTTTGTAATAAGTCAATAGACATTTGCCAGAGCATGCTACCTTTCATTTACATATTGAAATTAAAAAATATTTACACAAAATAAGTCATAGCGCTTCACTTTTTTCCACATTTTTTTATGTTACAGCCTTATTCAAAAATGGGTTAAATTCATTTATTTCCTCAAAACTCTACACACAATACCCCATAATGACAATGTGAAAAAAAGATTTTTTGAAATTGTTGCAAATTTGTTAAAAACAAAAAAACCTGAAAAATCACATGTACATCAGTATTCACAGCCTTTGCTCAATGCTGTGTTGATGCACCTTTAGCAGCAATAACAGCCTTAAGTCTTTTTGAATATGATGCCACAAGCGTGGCACACCTGTCTTTGGGAATTTAGCCCATTCCTCTTTGCAGTACCTCTCAAGCTCTATCAGGTTGGCTGGGAAGTGACAGTGTACAGCCATTTTCAGACCTCTCCAGAGATGTTCAATAGGATTTAGCTCTGGGCTCTGGCTGGGCCACTCAAGGACATTCACCGAGTTGTTGTGAAGCCACTCATTGATATTTTGGCGGTGTGCTTTGGGTTATTGTCCTGCTGGAAGGTGAACCGTCGCCCCAGTCTGAGGTCAAGAGCACTCTGAAGCAGGTTTTCATTCAGGATGTCTCTGTACATTGCTGCACTAATCTTTCCCTCTATCCTGACTAGTCTTCCAGTTCCTGCTGCTGAAAAACATCCCCATAGCCTGATGCTGCCACCACTATGCTTTACTGTAGTGATGGTGTTAGCCTCATGATGAGCGGTGCCTGGTTTTCTCCAAACGTAACGCCTGGCATTCACTCCAAAGAGTTCAGTTTTAGTATCATCAGACCAGAGAATTTAGTTTCTTATGGTCTGAGAGTCCTTCAGATGCTTTTAGGCAAATTCCAGGTGGGGAGTGGTCTTCCGTCTGGCCACTCTACCATACAGGCCTGATTGGTGGATCGCTGCACAGATGGTTGTCCTTCTGTAAGGTTCTCCTCTCTCCACAGAAAAATGCTGGAGCTCAGACAAAGTGACCATCAGGTTATTGTTCACCACCCTGGCTAAGGCCCTTCTCCCCCGATCACTCAGCTTAGCTGGCCGGCCAGGTCTAGGAAGAGTCCTGGGGGTTCCAAAGATCTTCCACTTATGGATGATGGAGGCTGCTGTGCTCATTGGAACTTTCAGAGCAGCAGAAATGTTTTTGTAACCTTCCCCATCCCTGTCTTGGAGGTCTACAGGCAATTTCTTTGTCTTCATGCTTGGTTTGTGCTTTGACATGCACTGTTAACCCTAGGACCTTATATAGACAGGTGAATGCCTTTTCAAATCATGTCCAATCAACTGAATTTACCACAGGTGAACTCCAAGTAAGCTGCTGAAACATTTCAAGAATGATCAGTGGAAACAATGTACTTGAGCTCAAATTAGAACTTCACAGCAAAGGCTGTGAATACTGATGTACATGTGATTTTTTAGGTTTTTTATTTTTAATAAATTTGCAACAATTTCAAAACATACTTTTTCACATTGTCATTATGGGGTATTATGTGTAGGATTTTGAGGGAATAAATAAATTTAATCAACTTTGGAATAAGGCTATGACAAAAAAGTAAATGTGGAAAAAGTGAAGCGCTATGATTACTTTCCGGAGGCACAGTACATCTCTTTAATGCGATGCTAGACTAAAAATGGTATATAAGCAGGTTTACAAAAAAATATGGTTTATAAATGCAAAGGAATATCTGAGGGACATAGATGCCTCAAAGAAAAACAATGAACATTATTAGTTCATAATATGTTGGAGATGAAAAAAACAAAGGTCAAGAGATGATGTATGCGATGAAGAACTGATACTGTAAACACAACATAAGCCTCAACATGCACACTTTCAATAATAGCATCATTAATAGACCTCAATAATAGCATCAGGTTTCATTGTTTGAAAGGATGTAAATGTGTTGTGTATGTGGCGTGTTTAGTTATTTGCACTGGTGTAATATGGGCCGCCTTACCTGGGTTGTGGATTCGATCCAGAAGCTTTACTGAGCGTGCGCTGACTACACCTCCAACGTGAAGGAGAAATCCAGAAGGGAAGGAAGTCAATGTGAAGAAAGGGTATTCCTGAAATACAATAAAAACAGTGATGGAGGTGTCATCCAGATAAGACAGTGGTGACCCAATGACATTATAACAAATGCCATCAATAACAGGTGAATTTCTGATTTAATTGCGCAGAAATTGAAACCTGTGGCTCATGCCGTTAAACAGTCAATACTTTGCAATCGCAACTCAAGCCTCATGCACAGATTCAGACACTTTTTACTGCGTAACAACTCTGTAAAGTGCAATACATCAGGACTTTAAGTGGTTTATAATGAGTAGATGCTTATAAATGATTACATTTACTTTTCAAGTCCACGTGAACAGTGTTGGGCAATAAAGCGTTACTAGTAATGCGTTACTGTAATGGCATTACTTTTTAAATATATTAAATCCATTACAATATGATGCATTTGTCCGTTACTTGGTAAATTAATTAACTTTAGCTGCAGTCTAGCCCACATCTTACTTTACAGTGGCGACGCATTGTAGGATTGGTAGATGCCAACCAACCACTGTAAAGAAGACGTGTTGTGTACCAGACGCAAGACTGGACAAAAGCAAAATAAACTGGGTGCATGCGAGAGAGGCCAAGTGTGCATGCGAGAGAGAACGAATGCGTGCGGGGCAGGCCGATTGTGCACGCAAAAGACCAAATACGCGTGAGAGAGAGACCATTAACGTTACTATTATTAATTACTATTACTAATACTACCATGTTTATCCTTTCAAATAAATGAGCACACATTGGTTATCTGTATAACAAAATTGATTAGTTTAGTAGACACAGTGACACATTTATATTTCCGAACACGATATTTAAATGTATAGGGTTATATTGCTCAGAAAAATGCTGAGATTTATTTATTTATTTATTGTTAAACATTTTTATAGGTGTTATACAACAGCAGATTTTGCACTATGAATATACACAGCTTACTTTCCCCAAGTTGCTGATGTAGTTTTTGGTTAGTTTGAAAATTCCTCATCAATTTAATTTGAGCAGCTGTTATGTTTTTGTTTTGTTTAGAATGCATACAATTTATGGTTATCTATAATAGCAGTTTTTTGGTGCCAAGTTTCACCAAACTGATCCTTGATTATTCAGATTATATTCATTTATTTATTTTATGAAGGTTTTGTGTTTGTTGTAGAATGTCGCTAGTTTTCATACTCAAGCTGTAAAAGAACATGTTTGAGGGATAAATACAAACTTTTATGATGCTGAAGCAACTTTAGTTTTTGCTTTTTTGTTCTGGTTTGGTTTATTATATTGTGATATGTTTTTATTTTTATGTTTTATTTTTGTATTGCTGGTCTGAATTAAATAAATTAGTGTTTATAAATTGTAGATAAATAAATTAGGGCATTAATGGGAGCATTAAAAACATTCTTTGGAAAAGTAACTTACTTTTAACAGTAATGCATTACTTTTTGAATGAAATAACTGGTAACTGTAACTAGTTACTATTTTTCCATACTTAGCACAACACTGCACGTGAATTAGAAGTTGCTGAAACTTTTCAGTATGTTGATGTACTTCCACCTGAAACGGAATATTGGGTAGGGGGCGGAGCTGTTGCACATTATTCCCTAAAGTGCAAACAATTGCGAAGAGCGGATGCAGCTGCTATAGAAATCGTTAGGTTGTCATCAATTGAAGCTCCGCCACTCCAAAAGTATAAGCAAGTAGTCAGACTTTGAAAAATACCAAAACATTTTTTTTCTAGTGGATTAACTTGCATGCACTAATTATTTACCACAAGAAAACAATGCGAGCTAGCATAATAAACACTGTAAATTTCAATTTCAAGTGGACTTAAACTCATCAGTCTGGGTGACACTTTATTTTACTGTACAATTCTCACTATTAGCAAACCATTAGCTAAGACTTTTATCTCAAACTTGCTGTTTATGAATAGTTATTAAGGTAGTAGCAAATTATAGGGTAGATATAGAATAAGATTATGCAGAATATGTATTGTATAAATAATAATAAACAGCTAGTATCTTAATAATAGGCAGGTAATCAAAGCCCCTAGATAATAGTGAGAATTGATACTTAAAGTGAAACCTCATTCTGATATATGGAAATACAACATTAATATAAAGTCCTGATTGAAAGCCTATACAAAATTCTTACCAGTACGTTCTTGTCATTCAGCTTATCATTGCCATTAATGTCATTATTTCACAAGACATTTCACTCTTTCACCAAAAAAACGGACAGAAATAACAGCAAAACTGTGACAGACTACTAAACATGAGAGCTTCCTAGTACCTGTCGAAGGTTCTAGAACATTCTGCATGTAAATGGATGCATAAACAGATGATGTCCAAACCAATAGTCACAATAAAGATGTGTCATTGGTTTGATAATGTAGTCACTGGTACAGTAGAAGAGATGAAGTTCTTCCAGTTCAAAGTTCTCAAAAAGGGAGGAATTTGGGGAACAAGAAAGATTGTTTGGTCTGAAAACATTCGGCATGCCTTCTACAGACATACCCCCGTCCTAACAAACGCTTCAGAGGATGATGAAACCCCCTGAAATCCAGTGTGAGAGCGGCAGAGCGGAGAAACATAATTCTCATAATCATAGTTCCATTTAAGCATGTTTGTGAATATGTAAATATGTGTCTTTGTCTTACTCTTTGTTCCAGTGCGGATTGGGTCTGCTGCCTCAGAAGAGCTTTAAGAGGCCCCGCCTCCTTCCCTGCACTTCCACCACTTCCCATTCCTATTCATGATGGAGAAGAGAGAGAAATTTAAATGGAAAGGAAACCATGATACAACCAAATACACATACGCTGACAAATACATTTGTACGCCTATGACTGCGTTTACATAAACAAGAACAAAGTCATGTTCATTTAAAATGGTGCGATTACATTTTTAACCATTACGCTGCTAGTAAAAGAATCAAATAATTTCCTGTCAAGTTAACAAGTTGTTAAATAAATTTTGTTAACACAAAGTACTCCATGATACAGATGGATGGTAAAAAGTAGAAACACATTTTTAGAGTGAGAAGGATATAAATATAAAGACTAAAAAATCTAAGAAAAAGTGCTTCAGGGAAATTAAGGTGTTGGTGCTCTATGGATAAGGGATTCATAAAAATAAACCGCAAAATAATAAGGTCCCATTTACACTAATACATTTCAGTTTTAAAACGACATTTTAGAATAAAAAAAGATTCATGCGCACACAGGCGTTTTACCTTGCGTTTTTGAACAACTTTCCGTCCACACTATACCGCTAAAAACGCACATCACGTGACCACACACACAATCTGGCATGCACTGCAACAATGAGAGCTGTGCACGTCGCACTGTTCATCAAGGATCTATGGCTGGATCTAATCTTACTATATTTGTTAAACGTGATATTTAATTCATTTTGTTGTCTATATCTAGTGACATATTCCTCGACATTGGTTTTTTGAATCTATTACTTGTTCTCAGGTAACGTGTTTTGGCTGAGCGCAAAAAAAAGTTTATATTAATTAATATTAATATTAATTGATGCAACCGCGTACACCGATTCTGCACAATTGCTTGCCTTTATTTGCTATAATGTATAAACTTATTGTATGTTATACCTTAAAAAAATGCCATTTTTTATTATTAAAACTGATCTTCAGCAAAAGAAAGAGTGTGTTTTGTATTTTCTATGAAAATTTCAATAAAGGAGGCAGTTATATGTTATAGGCTTTTGCATACAGTGAAGATGACGATCATATAAATATGCAGTTACACGACACCTCAACATTTTTGGTGTCTGTTCACTTTGAAGATTCACCCGACGTGTCCTCGGGAGTTTGTTTTCCACACCAAATTTGCGAAGTCGGAAGTTACAAGTACAGGATCCAAGACTGAAAATTGTGTAGGCTACTTAATATCCAGGAAAAAGCCCCAATCAGAGAGGCGAATGTCGGCAGCCCCGCCTCTCCATTTTCCCCTATCCAAAGTGACACGGAGGAGCAGCATTTTAAAATGAATACGGCCTCTCCAACATTTTCAAAAAGCTGTTTTCGATGCTCGAAAACTCTGCCGTAGTGTGGATGGATGGCGAAACTGTAGCCAAACTTATGCGTTTTAAAACTAAAACGTATTAGCGCAAATGGGGCCTAAGTCCAAGGCACTCGAAAAGTAAGTAAAATAGTTAAAAAGCCTTCATTAACATGGCTATTATTTTAAAAGCCTACGCATTTTAGCAAAACTAGCTTTTATCAGGGTGACCCTACTAATAAAGTCTACATTTGATGTATTGTGCTTTTCTGTGCTGTTAAAATAAGAAAAAAAAAGCATGTATACAGAATTATTCCAATAGCTATGAAGCACACCTCTTCTGGGAATAAAGGCTTCCCCAGAATACTTTAAAAGAAATTGTGTGCATGTAAAAATGGTTAATATAGACTCAAAAGTGTATAATTTTATGTTCACCAAGGCTGCATTTATTTCATAAAAAATACAGAAATGTACTAAATTTTGTTTTATGCAAATCTGATTTCGAGACTCAACAGCCTTCAGTGTCACATGATCCTCCAGATGTCAGTATGATACATTAATCAGCTAGTCAAGAAACCTGTTTATCCTTTGTTATTGTATATTTATTTAATTAACTTGTCACTTTTGAACAATTTAATGTGACCTTATTATAATAATAGTACAGGTATTACTGTCATATTAATAATAATAATAATAATAAATTTAAATAGGCTTTTCAGGACACTTAAAGCGGTTTACACATATTTGTGGGGAATCTCCTCATCCACCACATTAATTTTTGAATGATACTGCAAGTAATTTGGTCCCAATAAGTGACATTCTCTTTTACTCTTTTACGGCAGCAGTCTAATTAATTCAAAGCAATTTTATCTTGAATGTTTAAATTCATTTGGGCCAACTTCATATTCTTAAAATGTGATAATAATATTATTATTGGATAAATAACAAAAATAATGTATTTGTGAGCCCATAAAATGCATTTAGAGATCCAGACCTATTAGGATAATCCATAAATCACATGCAAAAAAATATGTTAAATTAATTTGCTAGTTTGAAGACTTAACTGATTATTACATCTGGACAGATAAAGACAATTAGAAGACATTTTCGGACACACAAGCTCAGAGCCCAGGCACTTGAAAGTAAGACTTAATAAAACCACCCAATAAGGAGATGACTGATGGCCTAGTATTTTGCTCTTCCATTGGCAGAGAAAACTAATCTTCAGTCAGGCTTTGGGGGGGAAAATAACTCATGCAAGTGGAGTTTTGGTAATTCTGAGAGCTCAAAAGTCATTAAACCACACCGCTCATCATATCATGCACTAAGAGAGTGCGTTCATTGCAATGGGCATGTGGGCAAATGAGTCAAAATTACGGTGGCCGAGAGAGCTCAACATGCTGCAACCTAAGAAAACATATGTAAATAGAAAAAAAAAAAACACCAGCAAATTAAGAAAACACCGGTTTGACAGCACATGTTGCAAATCCTCACAACACAAACAAATAGGGACCGGGCTGGGATTTGCTTATTGTGCAGTGATTATTAGGCCCAATCCCAAGTCAACCCCTTAGCCATTCCCCTTCTCCCTCGTTTGGTGCATTCACGTAAAGGGGTAGGTGTGTCCCAATTCTCTTTAGCTTGAAGGTTAGATAGCCCTTGAAACTGAGATCTTTGTCATTATTACGAATTTTTACAACAAACAACCGTATGTTTTGTTACATTCAGAATGGCGTTCGTGTTTTACCATAATGTTTAAAAAAATATATGCTAAAATAAAAAAAATGGCTATAATCCCTAATAATAAATCCTGTATAGCAGTCTTACAACATTCTGTCACTCAATGACACTCGAACACCTTGTCAGAAAAGTCTAGTGGCTGTGAATGACCTTTTTACAGTGTCTGGTAAAATGTTAATGTTGTTTTTGTGTGTTTACATAGATGAATATGGAAACTGTGTACAGTTATGAGTTTATTGCAACAATTTATCGTTATGATTACATGATAATGTTGCCATCAGTGATTTCCTAAAGCTAAATACACAAAAATAACGCAACGGGATCGTCGATCTCGTATGAAGCTAGTGATTGTGATGATGTGTGCTGGTGTTGCAGTGCTGTCCCATTTCTTAGGGGTACATTTTGAAGCTCTTCCCCTTCACACTCTGTTTTAAGGGCCAAGGGGAAAGGGTACAAAAACAGAATTGGGATTGGGCCTTAAAACAGCTGTATCTCTTTTTTTGTTTATTTTAACACTCTAATTTCATGATTCCTGCATTAATACATATTATTAGCCCAAATAAACTGACTATTGACTGTGAAATGTTAAGATAGCTAAATTAACTAAATATCCTCAACTAAATATAATTTCAAGGTTAAAATATAGGTGCAGATAAGAATAATATTGAAAAAAATATTAGTTAAAAACTAAAACATTAATTTAAAAAAAAATATATATATATATATTTAGTAGGCTATTGATACAAAGCACAACATAACATCAATACAACATGCTAACTTGAGCACCAGTGTGCTCGTGGCGACCCGGGTTCAATTACCGTCTCTAGGTCCCTTGCCGATCTTTTCCCTCTCTCTGCTCCCAGTGCTTTCCTCTCTGAATTCTCTACTGTCCTATCAAAATAAAGGTGAAAACCCCCTAAAAAAATTATTTAAAAAAAATAAAAATAAAAAGATCACAATGTGCATGTTTGTTTCAACATTTGCATGTGAGGATTTGCATTTTGTATTTGTGTTTTCATTTTGAGGACAGATGAAAATATTTTCTTCATATGCTGGTGTGTTTTTATTTGCATGTATTGCAGCATGTTGAGCTCTCTCTGCAAACAAAAACAAAAAAACATTTGTTAGTACAATTTATGCATGATATTTTCTTAGGGGCGGCACAGGGGTTTGTGTGTTCACACTGAATGCAACCACTGCACTAAGAGTTGAAGGTCACGGGGACATCAGTGAGTGTGTCCTACCAGAGGCCGCCAGCAGCAGTTCCTCACTGAAAGACACGCTCTTTCTCAGCATGGCTGTGTCTGATTGGCTGACATGGAGAGGGGGAGGAGTTGAACTCCTGGAGGCCATCCCTGGCCGTAAGTGACAGGGCATATGAGTGGAGGGGAGGGAAGATGAAATGGACTCAAGGGCGGGAGTACTGGGACACAGAAACATCCTCACTGACAGAGAAACAGAGGTGTGAAGACATCACATGAGAACAGAATGGGGTTGACCGAACTGGAAAGGAAACTCATGAAAACAGGGATGCAAACTCATGAGGTGTTGAAAAAAAAAAAGATGAGAAATTCACAGGTTTCCAAGTATGTTAAGATTTTTTTGTGGTCTGTATCAAATAAGCAAAATTTGATTTAATCCTCATAATTTCTAGAAGGCTTAAGTTAATATTCATCATTATCATCATCATCATCACCATATGGACTAAGAAAAAGTGTTGTTTTATTAATTGGACTGGTGCTGGGCAAAAGTTAATCGTGATTAATTGCATCCAAAATAAAAGTCTGTTTGACAATATATGTGTATTATATACATTTATTATCCACATGTGATAGACACAAAAACATACAAAACTATTTTGTTACATAGATATTTTAATTATACATTTAATTTGTATCTTATAAGGCTGCACAATGTGTCATTTTAGCATCAATGTCGCAATGTATGTATCTGCATTAGTCAAGTCGCACAATTAGATTTATTAAACATTAAACGATTATTAAATATAAATCTTTTTTATTATTTATACAACAATGACCATTTTATTTTACAATTGATTGTTACATTTCTGTACTTAGATACAGATTAATGAATAATTAATGAAGTCTCTTAGTTAGAAATATTCAAATCATCTGGAGAAATTGAATTCATATCTTAAAACACACAAACACACACACACACACACCAGAGCAAGACACAATATTGCAAAGCCAAATTTATTTTTATAACTAAATATAAATAAACATTCTCTCAAATATATGCATGCATGTGTGTATTTAAATATCCACAGTATGCACATGTAAATTATGTCAAAACAAACTTTTATTCTGAATGTGATTAACTTTAGTCCAGCTCTAATTAGAAGACAATAATATTTCACCAATTACAGTATATTTTTTTCTAGTTGTAAAAATATTTCTGTTATACTGAAGAGGAATAGGAAAAGGAATAAAGATAAAAAAATAAAACTGAAGTGTTTTAATTTTGAACATTTTACCATGCCCTTGTGTTTCTTGTGCACCTTCGTACGCCTTTACCTGCTGTCTAGGACTGATTTTTGAGGAAAGAAGACCAATTAGAATGCTGTTCTTAATTTAGATAAATACTCTTTAAATAGAGTTGTTTGCAAGCAAGAGTTAAATGTTAACTTTGCTTTTCAATTTGTGAAACCTCAGGAAAACCCTATGCACATGTACATGTAGCATTGATGTAATGAAACACGAGTCTGCCCAAGCAAAACTCTTAACATTTTCATTAAAAAGCAGAATATTTGAACTTTATCTCCACCTTTAAAAAGTTACTTTTAAAAAGTAACTTAATTTATCTAAAAAGTAACACATTCAAAGCAGCATGATAATGAGAAATGTAATTCATTGTTAGTATTATTGTTATCATCGTCATCATTAATATTTCACAATTATTAGACATTCATATTGGAATTATTGCACAAATATCAATATTGCACAAGTCATCACAGCATTAGATAGTTGTTTCTGTTTTTTGTTAATCCTAATTGATGTTGTTTTCAAATACAACAAATCTCTTAATATACAATTTGCAATGGTGCTCATTTATTTTTGGTGGGTGCCCTGCATGGGTCCTAGTTTGGGCATCTCTAATTTAGAACAATATGAAAGTAAGTACAGTAAAAGATAACAGACTTTCATTGTTTTTGGTAAGCAGTACTCTTCAATAATTTAACCTCAAGTTTATTAGTTTTGCCTGAAACAAATAATAAGTGACCAATTTTGTATAAGAAACAGAGGATCTAGCAGAAAGCAGAGTAGTTTGCATCCCAGAAACTATAACAAATGAGCATGCATGAAACAAAATCAAAAAACAATAAAAGTTTCTATAGAGAGGGACTAATTTTGATAAAGAAGGCACATTGGTTGTTGACATTTCAGATTTCAGATGTGCAAAATCCGAGATAACAGCCTTGATGCAAATAAAATAAATAAATACATTTTACGAACAGATAAAAGTAACAACGGAGGGACAACACAACTGAAATAACAAAACTAGGCCAAAACAACAGACACTGTGCCCTACACCCTCTGCCTCTGGGCCTTGACACTGGGATCATATTGATTTGAATGAAGGCCTATGAAAAGAGAGAGAGAGAGCGTCTGGTGGAGTGCCCGGAGGTCTGACAGGGGTAGGTTGGGGTATCTTACCGGTTTTGGGGGTTAAGCTGAGTTCGGTGTCAGAGGAAGAGGACTGGCGACTGTAGGACTTGGAGGGGGAGAAGGAGGAGAAGGTTTGTGCTCTCAGAGGGGTGGGGGGTCCTGAGGATAACGGGATTCCTGGGACCTCCTCCCCAAAAACTGGCCTGTCAGAGCAAGGAGGAACACACTCCATCAACACACACGGACTCTCATACATTTGGACTGTGCCCGAGTGCGTGCGTTTGAGCATGTGCATGTGTGTGTGTGTGTGTGTGTGTGTGAGAAGAGAGACAGAAAGAAAGAAAGAGTTGCTGGTGGAGCGTGTGAGGATGTCAAGAAAGCGCATGATGGCGGGGATTAAAACGACACAGGAAAAAAAAAAGTCACTGTGAATAACCATATTAGGCATAACACAGAAAATAAAATGAGATGAACAAGCGTGTTTCAGCCAACCAAAGCACAACGCTTTGAAAACAAGGATAATTTGAAAATCTCCCTGCCTGAACAACTTAAGAACACAAGCCAAACCGACACCTCTGATTGGATAAGCTCTTTGAGTGACAGCTGAATGCAGCTCACTGATTGGTCGTTTTAAGCTTTGGCAGCTGAAGGGAGGGAGGGGCTGGTGATGTCGTAGCTGTCTGCCAATGAAGAACAGGAGGGTGGTGAAATCCGTGACGGGGGTCGTGATGGGGAGGGTCAGGGGGGTACCTGCCTACACTGCCTGGCTCTGGGGGCTTCTGAGCTCCTGTGTCTGGGTTTCATACCGGCGAACAGCAGTGTGGGCACAGAAACGGAGAAGCCCTGAGAGAGACGACTGCTCGCACTGTGAACTGGACTGCTGTGTGTGGAACGACATCCGAGAGTGGAAGGAGCAGCCTGCGGAGAGCTACACACACACATTCACGCACAGTTCATACATTAAACACACACGGCCACACACTGTGCACTGTACAGTCACGTAGGACGCAAACATGTAGACGGAGAACATCATCATACACAAGCATGCACACGCACACATAGGGGTGGGAGGAAAAAAAAAAAAATCACTGTCTTTACAAAAGTTATTGTTTATGGAATGGAGTTGCTATAGAAATGTAATATAACAGTACATTCAATCTGCTTTTTGTGGATTTATGAACGACATTCACAACTAAAGCAAACAAGCAAACTACTAACTATTAATAAAAAATTTAAAAGTTATAATTCAGGGTATATGCAGGTATCCGAAATATAATTTTAATACCTTTTTAAGACTTTTTAAAGACATTCTCAGACTATTTTAAGACCTAATCGCCACTTCAAGTTCTAATCAGTATTAAACCTTTAACTTAATAAACAGTTGTAGTTAAATAAATCAATGGAGCCGACCATGCAACAGAACTCAGATAAGCTCGGAAGAAACAAAGCTTGAAAGAAAAAATTACGCGATTATTTTCAGCGACAGGCTTCAGCCACTGTTTAAACTCGTCCCCATTTTGCCGTCTGTTTCGCTCTATGGTTTCGTTACAAGTGGAGAGCGTCCCATCACCTTCCCACGTTTGTTGTAAATTACGTCACTTCACCCTAACGGAGGAGCTTTGCCGGACACGCCCTGGTCCGAACCAATTGCGTGGATTGAGTAAAATAAATATATTTATGATTTTTTAGAGTCAAAAACTCTGGACAAGCTTGAACAAAATTTAAGACCTCGCAAAAACGCAATTAAGCCATCGTGCGAGGGAAATGATGCGCCCACACGTGCTTTCCAGGTGCACCTGGTTGAAAGAATGCTATGAGTCATGTGACAAAAACTAGACAGATCAACCTCATACTTTTTATGGAATATACATATTCTATTCTCATTTTTTGTTAATTTTTCAATCCAAAGAGAAATGGACCATTGTTTCCTTTTCAATATTATTTTGTGCTGTATTAATTAGTTACTGAGCAGCAATAAATGACAATTTAAAATAAATTGTTTTCATGTGATTTTCTAAACTAGTAATGTATTGAAATTCACGAGTGCATAATAATCTGGATAATCGTGAAACTGTGATTATTCCTCAGACTATAATCGTATAATCTCTAATCGTTGCATCCCTATGTATAACAATGACTTGTTCTGTAGACAATCAGAAAAAAAAATGGCTTAAAGAGGCTAATAATATTGACCTTAAGATATTTTTAAAAAAAATAAAAACTGCTTTCATTCTAGCCGAAATAAAAGATTTTTCTCCAGAAGAAAAAATATTATAGGAAATACGGTGTTTTTTTATTTTTATTATTACAATGGCGTTTTTTGTCGTTTTAAATCTTTCTACTTTTTCAATGTTCTTCAAAACACTATGCAAGACCCATTTGCAAGCAAGAACTTTGTAATAATTAAAAAAAAAATTTTTGCCTCTAAAACCATAGTAAAATTAGATCAGGGACCAATTTCATTAAATCATGAAGGTTCCCACCCCTATGCACATACTCAAGACAGACTGCATGGAAAACCAGCGGGGATAAAATCCATTATTGGCTGTGTCTCAAATCTTAGTGAGCTGGCTACCTAGACATCACCAAAAATGCTGTCTAGTTAGACAGGTCAAAGGTCAACATTTGTTGCTCTCTAGAGAGCAATGGACAAGACGAGACAAACACAAGAGACTCAAGGCAGCACTCCGGATGCAAAAAACGCCTAGCTTGGAAATTCACAACCAAACTGCATTTAAGCCATCTAACGCAAAACACATGCTAGTAGTGCAGGGAGATGCAGCATGCAGGAGGAAGTCAGAAGAAAAAGACAGCAAGAGAGATAGAGGACATGCAGGGAGGAACAAGATCGTAGTGTGGTGTGTTTGTGTGTTGAGAATGCATTTCTGTACAACTTACAAAACAGCAACTCATAAAACAAACACACACACACACACACAGTCATATTCATTTTTAAAATAAACAGAAAAACAGAAAGTAATTGTACAACATTTCTTCTTTTTTCCACATTGCATTAATACCTGTTTAACAAGACAAAAGGTATGTTACATGATAGTTACTTCTGTGATCAAATTTTGATTAAACAGAAATAAATAAAGGTGTGAAATACCATATTATTTTTATAATTATAAAATAGTTTGGATTATAAACAGTCTGCAAAATGATGCTCAATGATAAACTTCCATTCAAAACTTTGGGGACTGTAAAAAATTTTTAATTATTTATGTTTGAAAAAATTATTTCTAACTCAAGAAGGTGTTGTTCTGCCATTATAGGATTACACTTAATATGACATATTTCCAAATGTATTAACCCTGCTCTTGGGGATGTTTTCATCCACTTTGGGGGGATTTTGAGTCTAAATTTGGCCACAGAGTTTCAGCAATTGGAATGATTTTTTTGTGACAAACCTTATTTTAACATTTTTTGGGAAAATGCTTTAAAAGTTTTCAAAAACTCAACAATATACTCTGAGCAAATTGATTAGCCTTTCATTATGTTCACGGCTGTTTTTGCCCCATTGACTTGCATTATAATGACATTTTTTGATTGCAAAGCCATGACACCACATTATTACACATTTTTGATTGTTGCTGTTTATTCTTGCAGGGAAGCCACGAATATAATAATAAGGTAGTCAATTTCAGCAGTCCACAAGTGTTAAAATACAAAACACTTTAATACTATTCACAATATTAAAGTTTGTCCAGTGTTTTGATTAAACAAACGTCACCTTCCTGAGTACATCACATTTTAAAAATCTTAACGTTTCCCAAACTTTTGAACAGATCTCAAAATCAAACAGCCTTGATTTTGACTTCATTACAGGGGTGATCAAAATGCACAAATTAATTACGTTTTCTGTAATTGCAACCCGATGTATAAGAAATCCAATTCAGTGTATGCAATAAAAATAAAAGTGCCTCATAAATCTCTTTAGAAATTAATGCAGGACTTGATACTGACATGCACATATGCACAAACAGATAGTTAAAGGCGTGTGTGTGTGTGTGTGACACTCACTCTTTCATGTCTTTAGATGGAGATGAGTTGCTCTGGTGTGTGGCTGTAGAGGGGAGAGTGCTGATTTTCTCAAGAGTGCAGGCCGTCCCAATGGCTCGAACTACGAGGCCTGATTCTCCTTCCAGGTCGAAACATTGCAGATACCCCACCACTGCATTCCCTCCCATTTCCAGCACTTTCAGACCAATCTTCCTCTGCAATTCACCTACAACAATAAAAAAAATATTCATACATTTCTTAGAAGGTTCTCAGATTTTACATGCCCATGTCTCCTGAGACACAGTAAGTAGTCTAATGGTAAGAAGTCAATTAGCAGATGATTATCTTTTCCAAAGCAACTCGCAGTACACTTAGTCAGAGCAGATCAATAGGCCTAAACTGTATTGTCCAATGACCTAGATCATGTCCAATTTTCAGTCCAGTGTTTCTACTGAAATCCTGATGTAGGTCACAGATGAAAAAGAGTTTTCATGCAACAAAACAATAAAAATTTATTTTATAGTCACCTGTGCTTAGGTGTGAAAAGCCAGTGTAAAATACAACAACATACTCCAAAACAAAACTATATACCATTAACAATGTTGACAATAAATAAGTAAAAATACTAAATACTAAAAAAAAAAAATATGTGAAAGACAACAAAAATGCGTAAAACACACACACATTTAGACACAGACAGACAAGTAAAAAAGGTGCACATATACCGGAGTCAACATTTGAAGTGGATCAAAAATGTTTTTCAAAATTGTCCAAAGACAAGAATGGGCATTGTTCCGTAGTTTTAGGACAACTTTGGTGAAAGGCAATGATCCACTTTAAATGTTGACTACTGTAGTTTGGCAGTTGGTTAATAATTATTGTAGGCAATATTGTTTTTTAAGTAAGTGCAATATAGCTTCTAATTTTTTTTTTCTGTAGAGTATAATCTGCCCTTTTTATAGGTATTAAGGATGGATTGCATCCCTAAAATTCGTATTAATTGTCATTTTCAATTTTTAAAAGTTTTTCTATCCTTCAAACCTCTGAGAAGTTGTTGCATTTAGAAAATAATACAAAAACATACTAATAAAAGACATAAAAAATAAAATACAAATTTTATACATTAGCAGATACATATTGCAATAAGAATGGCATTTGGATTTTACACATATTTAATTACAATTAAAGAATTATTAGCATCATCTGGAATTTATTTATCTCCCAGATGATGTTCATGATTATATTTTTTCTTCTGGAGAAAGTCTTATTGGTTTTATTTCGGCTAGAATAAAAGCAGTTCTTGATTTTTTTTTTTTTTTTAAATTAAGCTATATATTTTTTCAATAGTCGACAAAACCATCCTTATACAATAACAATGCCTAGTTAACCTAATTAACCTAGCTAAGCCTAAAAATATCATGTACTAGCATCATGCGAAAGATAAAATAAATCAGTTATAAGAAATTAATTATTAAACTATTATGTTTATAAATATGCTCAAAAAAATCTTCTTTCCATTAAACCAAAATTGGGGGAAAAATAAACAGGGGGGCTAATAATTCTGACTTCAACTGTCTCTGTTATGCTAAATGATTATAGAAATTTTTTTTAAGGTTTTATAGGTTTCATTTTCATAGAAGTATATTAAAATATATTAATTATGAAATGTTTGTCTTTTAATATTGATTTAGAAAATAAATTGGCATGCCTTATAATTCATTGGTTCAAAAGATTTCATTAAAGTTGTGCTAAAGCAACAGAACAACACCCTGTATTGTTTTAGGACAGTTTTGAAAAACATTCAGGATCCACTTTAAATGCTGACGACTGCATATCATTAATTATTAATGTCACTATAGTCAATTTAATCCTTCTTCAATAGATAATTATGTTTCTCTTGCATCTAGTTAGAGCTTTCGTACCTGACATAAGAAAGATGAGCCTCTGTCGGGCCTCGTTGGATGCACGAGGGGTTCTGATACGACAGTTTTGAAAAACATTCAGGATCCACTTTAAATGCTGACGACTGCATATCATTAATTATTAATGTCACTATAGTCAATTTAATCCTTCTTCAATAGATAATTATGTTTCTCTTGCATCTAGTTAGAGCTTTCGTACCTGACATAAGAAAGATGAGCCTCTGTCGGGCCTCGTTGGATGCACGAGGGGTTCTGATACGACAGTTTTGAAAAACATTCAGGATCCACTTTAAATGCTGACGACTGCATATCATTAATTATTAATGTCACTATAGTCAATTTAATCCTTCTTCAATAGATAATTATGTTTCTCTTGCATCTAGTTAGAGCTTTCGTACCTGACATAAGAAAGATGAGCCTCTGTCGGGCCTCGTTGGATGCACGAGGGGTTCTGATACGATCGATCCACTGGTACTCTGGATCCTCATTTACCACAAGCTCTTCCACAAAGCCATGGACCATAATGGCCCGATAACATCTGGGAATAGAGGTTGCTTAAAAAAAAAAAAAATAAAAAAAAAGCAAAAATTGAGTGAAAATTCTCAGAAAAAAAAGACAAACAAGAAAGAAAGAGAATTGCAAACATTGGAAGAAATGTATTATAAAGAGAATTAAAAAAAAAAATAAAGAAACACAAGCAGGACAAATCAGAAGTGTGAGACTGCAATATGACAATATACAACAAAGAATTACAACAATATACAACATATCAGTTCTGATATTTATCATATCACCCAGCCCCAGTCAGAAAAATATGATCTACTTACTACAGAAGAATTTAACTCCACATGAAGACTGTCTGAAGCGGTTCAGGTCATTGAAGAGATCCACCTTCACTAGCACATTGATTTCCCCTCTTATCCCTGAACGCAAGCATCAGATTAGAAAACAATGCAGAACTCTTTAATATTGCAAACTAAAATCCTACACACCATGAATAGTGTCATATATGGGGAGCCAGCCAGAGATGACAGTAGCAGCTTCACTGCAGAGTAATGGATCGATGTCTATGTACACCTTTCCAATGGCATCATTAGCGCTGTATGTGTCATGGTCAAGAACGGTGATCTGCAATGGCTCGTCCTGTAAATCTTCATCATCCACCTGAAAGATGAAAAAAAGATAAGCACATGGCATACAGTGGGGGGTAAAGTATTGAAAATATCAGTGTTGTTTTTCAGAAAGCATATTTCTAAAGGTGTTGTTGATTTGAAATTTCCGCTGGATGTTGGTAACAAACACAGAAATCCATATATGCAGAGAAAACAAAACTAATTAGTTAACAAATGAAGTTATGTGTAATAAAATGAAATGACGCATGGAAAAAGTATTGAACACATGAGCCCAGACAGCAGCTGAAATCTCTCAGTAGTTCTTCAGCAATCATCTGCCCTTTGTTATGTAAATGAATATTAGCTGCTTCAGTCTAACATCTGCATTAGCAGGATGATGAAGATGAAACCATTTAAGCAAGACAATGATCCAAGGAAACTCTCAAATACTTTAAGAGAAAGACAATAAAGCTGTAGAATGGCCCAGCCAAACACCTCACTTGAATCTAAAAGAAAATACTAAATAAAGATTAGATTTGACATGCGAGACCCACAGAACCATCACGAGTTTTCCACTCTTGACATCTGTAAAAAAACTCACACCTGAGCAATGCATGTGACTTCATTCTCCATATATGAGAGGCGTCTTTAAGCTGCCACCACCAAAAAAAACTTTATATAAAGTATTAAATACATTTTAGTAGTTCAGCACTTTCTCCCTGTGTCATTTCATTGCTGTCATACAGAACTTATTTTTCAGATTTTTTTTGTTTTTGTTTTGTTTTATTTTTATGTTTGTATTTTTACCAAAATCTGGTTCAAATCCATGTCAACAGCTCCTTTAGAAATATTATTCCCAGAAAAAAACATGGCATGTTCAGTACTTATTTCCACAACTGTATATTTGATTAATGTCCAAGTCAAAGCAGGACAAAGGAGAAGATTTCTTACCTCAAATTTGAACCACTCAGAATTCCACTGAGGATTCAGAGACTTGGGGTACACATCTGTTTTGTATGTTGTGTTTCCAAACTTGACCTGCAAAATAAAACCTGATGAGTGCTCTTATTTACAGTCGAATCAGAATTATTCACCCCCTGTTTATTTTGTTCCCCAATTTTTGATTAAAGGAAACAAGTTTTTTCACCGCATTTCTAAACATAATAGTTATAATAATTTTTAAATAATTTCTAATAACCTATTTCTTTTATCTTTGCCATGATGACAGTACATATTTTTTCCAAGATATTTTCTCAGCTTAAAGTGACATTTGAAGTCTTAACTTGGTTAATTAGGTTAACTACGCAAGTTAGGGTGATTAAGCCAATCATTGTATAATGACAAATGGGGGACAAAAAATAGCTTAAGGGGGCTAATAATATTGACTTTAATTTTTTTTTATTATTAAAACCTGAATATATTCTAGCCCAAAGAAAACAAATAAGACTTTAATCCTCGTCCTGAGGTAACCAGAGATTAGAGCAGCTCCAGTTTCTATCCAGCCTCTTTCAACGATTTTAGATGACTCTACCATCTTATATATCTCTAATAAAATCTAAAACGTTTAACATAAAATAAAACATCTTTTTTAAACTTTACATTCCCTTACATTGTAATCATGTCCACAGAATGCAATCATCACTTTAATTATGATCATCTTGTTTAAATACTGTCATTACCTGCTCTTATCAGCCCAGAACTGCCCATTTCTGCAGTATGGATATTACATTGATATAGTAACCTCTGATAATCTTAATTATGCTTAACTGTGAAGTAGAATAAAATGTCCTTTCTGTAAACCCACTTTATGATTATGAACAGGGATATACAAATAAATTTGAAATGAATTAAACTGGTTGGGAACTGACCTCCACGAAGGCATCTGTGAGATCGCTGGCACGGTCCATGACGGGCAGGTGCCGCCCCGCAACAATCTTCGCCTTTAGCTTCCCAGGCATTATTCATCTAGTCTTGATAGACACACATACAGCAGAAAAGGACAATTGTTACAAAATGTCAATGGTTTTCATTCACTGTAATTGAAAAACAAGATTATTCCACCAAATATTGTTTTCATTATTCTTCTGAAGTTAAAACATTGGTATTAAAACTAGGGATGCACATTATTGGAAAAATATGACGTTGCACTATTTTGTTGCAGCGAAATGTATTGCGATATGTATAAAATTTCACCAGATAATTATTAAATAAATAACTTAAAAAATAATTATATTTAATAATGTTTCCATCTTTTAAACTTTAATAAATAATCTAATCCTGCAATGTGACTTTTGCAGATACACACCTCACGATATCGATGCTAAACCAATATAATGTTCAGCCCTACCTTAAATGTCATCAGCTGTTTTGATGCAACAGAACAAAACTAAAAACTATGCTTTCCTCAAAGACATAACTACATTTTAAACAAATGACTATTTCCAAGTAATAATTTAATACAACTAAATTCAGCTTTATGTATTCAATAATATATACTCAGGCTGCACAATATATTGTTTTAGCATCGATATCACAACGTGTGCACCGGCAATAGTCACATAACAAGAAATTCAATGTTGAGTCTAAACGTTTTTCTTACTTAGAATTTTTCTCTTGTTTTTAGTTCAAATATATAAATTTTACAGCAAAAAAAAGATAATTTTATTTACCCAACTGGCAGAAAAATGTGCTTAATTCTTCTAAAGTTGAAAACAAAACATTTTTTTCTACTTGATCTAAGAATTTTAGGTATTTGGACTAGAAAGAAGACAAAGTAAGAAAAGCATTTATTGTATTGTGTTCAATTTCTGTACCTGAATACTGTTAGGCTCCCCAGAAAACCATCACATAGTGCTAAATAGAGCTATTTAAACCGTCTTATGAAGCTGTGCTCATATAGGCATATTTATCACAAAAAAGTATCACAATATCAGATTTTTCTGATATTGAGCAGCCCTAATACAGGACAAGACTGTGTCCTGCAAAGTTTAGTTCCAACACCAATCAGACCCACCTGGGTTATCTAATCAAGCTCTTACTAAGCTTTCTAGAAACATCCGTGCAGGTGTTGAGGCAAGCTGGAGCTAAAATCTGCTGGACACCGGCCCTCCAGGACCGAGTTTGGGCACCCCTGCTCTAATATATACTTACTTACATACAAGTGTACATAAATTTTAGATAATTTTAGATTAGATTTATTTAACTGATGTTATTTATTAATTTATTTAGTAATTTATTTATTAACATTAGGTTACTTCCAAATTAATTGACAAATTAAGTGAAATAATTCCCATTTTGTGGTGCCTCAAATCTTAGATCTGTTCGTGGAGTCAGAAATAAACAAATTTGATCCAATATTAAATAGGAAAAACAAACGAAAATCAATAAAAATTCATATAATAAATGTTCACCTACAAGTTCACATCAGCATAATCGTAAGTTACCTTCTTCATGCAAACAACCACATTAGAAAACGACGATAACACAATCTTTGCGAAATACTGATTATAGTTAGAAATGTGTACTTTTTATTACTATAAGTGTATAAGGTAAAGTTGTTTTTATACTCACACATTCGGACTTTCACCTTCATAATATATTTTCAGAAAGGATTCTTTGTAAAGTCAAAATAGGGAAATCATATTAGCACATTAGACATGTTTACAGCCAATTAATTAGTGCTAATGTTAGCTATCATTCTTGCATGCGATTTCAGACTAAATATTTATAATAATAGCATAATAAACAATATAGGGATTGTTCCACAAGTTGCCACTGTTAAAAATGAACGAATATGTGAATATAAAACCTAACTTACTTTAACGTTACCTCTATGGGTTATTTGTATTTTTAACGTGTCATGGGTTCCTCACGGTTAGCAAATAACACCATGCTGCTTGTTTTTTAAATATATAGTAATCACATTAAAGTTACACATAACTTAACGTTAAATAACACTTTAGAACCTCAAAATCCTTCGGAGGAAATATTTAATGATCATTTTTATATAAATAATATGTAACGTTAACCACATCTCTCTCTATGACTGCAGTAACAGTTTCGCTGCATTCACCTTGTTTATACCCCACAGCAGTAGTAGATTAGACACAAAGGCGTATTTATAGAAAGATCTCTTCACAAACTATACCGGAAAATGAGATTATTGTAGCATTTTTGATCCTGTCAGCTCACCAGAGTTTCACCTTAGCGGCTCAATCTGACATTAAAGTCTCGCCATCGACCCTCGCTCCGATTAAAACGCTTCTTCTGTCATGGTTCAATCTCAGGAAGGCGAGGCGTCGACTCTCTCAGGCATTTTTAACACGTTCATGTCGAAATGTTGCCGTTTATACGGCTAATTTGCGAAATAAAATCGTCTGTCAGTTGAAACGTCTCAGAATCAGGCGCATCGCTCGCGCAGGTGGGAGGGGCGGGCGCGCGCACGTCAGAGCACATCCGGGTCACGGGCATTGACACCTCACGCACGTGTGTTTATGGGTCAGATGTGTGCTCATTTTTAATATTTCCCACTGTCCTCCTTTAAACATGTGTATTACATCTTCACACTGTAAAATCAACACAAAAATAAGCACTGAACTTTTCCACAAGTGTTGAGGATTAAAAGTCAGAGTCTTACAGACTAATCCTATTGCATTCAGAGCCAGTAGATGCTGCAGCCAGGCTTTATTAGTCTACTATTATTACACACTGCTGCCCTACTGAGTGATCCGCTGGTTTCCTCCTGTGCATACACACATACATATGCCATGTAAGCATAGAGGCACTTAATAAGTGGGCCACTGCACAACTATTTTCATGTAGAACTTCCAAAGAAATTTCAAGAAACCAGCGTAGCCTACAAACAGTGGGACGAAAGTAACAGCGACTTTCTCGAAGCCCTGACAACATTTGATTTCCAGGCTATAATAGCACATTCAGAATTTCAGTTTTTAGGTGCAGAAAGTAAATTGTGGTCCTTTTTTTTTTACCTTTTTACAAGTTGTGTTCTCATTTCATACATCACACTAATGATCAATCATCATTATTTAGTGCAGTAACACACCCTTAAGTTTGAAATCTTTGAGTTTTTCAGATGAAAAGTAAATCAGGTTTAAATGGCAAGAGTTCCTGTGTGGACAAAAGTAACACAATCAATGTGCCATTAATGTAACCCCACTGGTCCTTCGCCACCCAACCCGCTCCAAACCGGCGACCTTGCGCATGGGAGATCAGTTGCTCTACTAAGGATCATTCTTGAGATGTTTCAGCAGCTTCATTAGAGTTCATCTGTGGTCAATTCAGTTAATTGGACATGATTTGAAAAGGCATACACCTGTCTATATGAGGTCCCAGGGTTAACAGTGCATGTCAAAGCACAAACCAAGCATGTAGACAAAATAATTGTCTGTAGACCTCCAGGACAGAATTGTCTCGAGGCACAGGGCTGGGGAAGGTTACAGAAAATTTCTGCTGCTCTGAAAGTTCCAATGAACACAGCGGCCTCCATCATCCGTAAGTGGAAGATGTTTGGAACCACCAGGACTCTTCCTAAAGCTGGCCGACCATCTAAGCTGAGTGATCGGGGGAGAAGTGCCCTAGTCAGGGAGATGATCAGTAACCCGATGGTCACTCTGTCTGAGCTCTAGCGTACTTCTGTGGAGAGGAGAGAACCTTACTGAAGGACAACCATCTGTACAGCAATCCACCAATCAGCCCTGTATGTTTAATAGGCCAGACGGAAGACCACTCCCTGGCTGGAATTTGACAAAAAGAAACTAAACTCTCTGGTCTGATGAGACTAAAATGTAACTTTTTGGAGTGAATGTCAAGTGTTATGTTTGGAGAAAACCAGGCACTGCTCATCACCAGGCTAACACCATCCCTACAGTGAAGCATAGTGGTGGCAGCATCATGCTGTGGGGATGTTTTTCAGCAGCAGGAACTGGAAGACTAGTCAGGATAGAGGGAAAGATGAATGCAGCAATGTACAGAGACATCCTGAATGAAAACCTGCTTCAGAGTGCTCTTGACCTCAGACGGTTCATCTTCCAGCAGGACAATGACCCAAAGCACACTAACAAAATATCAATGTAGTGGCTTCACAACAACTCAGTGAATGTCCTTGAGTGGCCCAGCAAGAGCCCAGAGCTAAATCCTATTGAAGATAATCAAACGATGTTGCTAAATGGAGTTTTGTTAAAAGTTTGTGGATGGTTAGTAATTGTATTGCTGTTGGTCTGATTGAGTAGCTTAATATGTTCAATGGAAAATTACGGCCAATTTAAAAAGATTTAAAACCTGCAAGTCAATATTTCAGTGAATTTAAGACTTTTATAGGCCTAAAATTGAGCTTTTTGATATTTAATACATTTTAAGACCCTGTGGACACCCTGTAAATATGTCCGTTGGGGTCTACAGAGTGACAGAAATGACCTAGTTTGTGTCTAACATTAACTCTTACATAAGCAGGCATCACGTTACATCAATTCCACACCTGACATATTGTCATCAAAGACTATTTTTGTATGCAATTGTCTTAGAGAGCATTCGCTGGCATCTTTTGTGACCATGCAATTTGTGTGTGTGTGTGTGTGTTTTAGCAGTATATTTTAGCAGTATAAGCAGTATGTTCATGTGCTTCTGTTGTAGGGATCAATTCAATATGTCGTAAATATGGGCTTAGTTTTAAATGAAGCCTTGGATCAGCGGGGTTTTCACCTCATTGAGCTGCCTTAGGTGGAAATGCGCTAATATTGGATCAAATGTGCATGACAGATATTCCTGACACCCCAAGCTGCCAAAACTGTTGTTCGGCCATTGGGTTTGTCAGTCAGATGAGAGGAACCACTGAGAGGTCTCTGTATATGGAAAGGTTACTGAATAAATAGACCCCTCGCTAAATCCAAAAGGACTTTATATGGTGATCCATTAAGCTCGCTGTTACATTTTTGCCAGATTTCAAAACAAGTCAAAGACGAAAAAGCGGCCTTTAAGGATTTATAAAATGATAGCCAAATGCAGATTTCCCCCTTTAACTTTACTTGTTTACAGAAGACACTTGCTAAAATTTAATTACATGTAATATGTTTATATACAACTCAAATCAAGTCAAGCAAATTTAAAACAAGAATCACTGGATGTCATACTTAAAAAACAATCCCAAAACAGTCAACCCCCTTACATTGGAAATACATTTTGCATAAAATACATTGCTCCGGGTACATTTCAGATCACAATGCCACTAGATGGCGCTGCACATTTTTGTTCATCTGAAATATGTTGCTTAGGGTTTGTTTTGGTGTACGTTTCAGATACACATCTTTATTGTACTTTCTGCCATTGAACACAAAAGTAGATATCTTGAAGAAATTTAGTTCTTTCTACTATTGAAGTCAATGGTTACAGGTATTCAGCTTTCTTCAAAATATCTTCTTTTGTGTTCAACAGTAATTGTCAAACACATAATATGATAATCTGAGGAATGTTGAAAGCATACAAAATATGCTTAAAGAATGATGAAAACTGTAAAAAGTAATACCATTGACGTCAATGGCTACCAGTTTTCAACATTTTTCAAAATATCTTTTTTTGTGTTCAACAGTAATTTATCGAACACAAAAAAAACAATCATTTAAAGAATGTTGAAAATGGTGGAAAATATTTCCAATAAAGTCAATAGCAACCGGTTTCCAACATTTTTCAAAATATCTTCTTTAGTCTTTAACAGTTTTTTGTCGAATACAAAATACAATCAGTTGAAGATAATTAAAAACGTAAGAAAATAATACAATTGAAGTCAACGCCTACTTGTTTTCAGCATTTAACAAAATATCTTTTGTGTTCAACGGTAATTTATCAAACAGAAAAAACTATTTGAAAAAAAATTTGAAAATGGTAAAAAAATTCTACCAATAAAGTCAATAGCAACAGTTTCCAACATTTCTCAAAATATCTTATTTTGTGTTTAACAGTACTTTTTTGAACACATAATACAATAACTTAAAGAATGTTGAAAACGGTAAAAAGTAATACCATTGAAGTAAATGACTATCAGTTTCCAACATTTTTCAAAGTTTCTTCTTTCCAAAAACACAAAACACAAAATATAATCATTTGAAGAGTGTTGAAAATGGTAGAACGTAATACAATTGAGGTCAATGGCTACCCGTTTCCAACTTTTTTCAAAATATCTTCCTTTGTCTTCAACAGTAATTGCTGAACACAATACAATAACTCAAAGAAAACAGTAAAACCAATACCATTGACGTAAAGAAGCTACCAATTTCCAACATTTTTCAAAATATCTTCTTTTGTCTTCAACAATAACTGTCAAACAAAAAAATATATTCATTTGAAGAACGTTGAAAGCAGTAGAAAATAATACCACTGAAGACAATAGTAACCGGTCTTCAACAGCAGTTTCAACACAGAATGAAAATAGAAATAGCATTGTAATATATAGAAAATAGAAATAGCATTTGAAATAAAATTGTAAATTAAAAGTCAATGGTTACCGGTTTCCAACATTTTTCAAAATGTCTTTTTTTGTCTTCAACAGTAATTTTTCGAAAACAAAATACAATTATATTTAAAAAAAAATGGTAAAAACATTATAAAATAATACCATTGAAGTCAATGGCTACTGGTTTCCAACATTTTTCAAAATATCTTCTTTTGTCTTTAACAGAACCAGTGGTTTGGGAACACTTGAAAGAGAGTAAATAGTAGGAAAATGCATTTATAGGTGAAATATCCCCTCAACAACCTGCCATTTCTAGTAATTTACAATCCTTTTCAGTCAAAATTCTTCTCTTTGTGTTCATTTTTGATTTCCACATTTTAACATGTGCCATTTTTGTCTGCTCTATTGCATATAAAAAGTATTCAGAGTGGGCTTTGCATTGCTTTGTCCTTGTGCCATAGGACACACACACACGCGTCTCTGAAATGTTGAGGACAGCTGCCCATTCATTGTCATTCCTCTCTCTCTGTGAGCTATATTTACAAAGCTGCCGCCACTCACACATAAAAACAATTGTGTCTGTCCTTTGTGCTTCCAGAAGCTTTCTGACCCCACCAGCAACTTCCTCAGGTAACACTGCTCTTTCCTACACAGCTCTCAAATCATACAACATAACAGAAGACATTTATTTATCTAGTCTTGTGATTGTATCGACTCTATATGTTTTAATTCCTCATATTTGATTCAGCAGGTTTTCACAATGGCAGACGAGTAAGTCATTTTTCATCCCTTTGTGGCCAAATATTTGTATTTTGATGTCTTTGACGCCACTCTTTTCTTCTATTTTTCTGTTCTCAACCTTGAACAAATGAAATATGCAGCGATGTAAGTGACTTTGCTGTTTTATGTGACTTTTAAAACTGATTTGACTTCAAATAAAGGATAAAAAACTGTAATGATGCTAATAATGTGATTTATACTGGATA